AAAATAAACGAGCGAAATCTCGCAATAATTCGCTCGGTGATTAGAAAAAAAGTAAAATTGATTGCCGAGATTACAAGAAATGAATCGACGAAGAGCGGTTTTATTTGAAGGATATACGCGCGTGAGCGATACGATTATTTTACGCGACATTATATCTCAGTTTTCAGCTTCCTTTGTCCGATGTTCATATATCGCGCGTTTATATTTGTTAGATATTCTAATGCGCATGCGTGTGTATTATAAATATACAGCCGAACACGCGATATGGGCGCACGCATGCGCACGTGTCTCGTGTAATCACTCTCCGCCGTTCGTATTTCGCGCGCGCACGTATAAAATTCTAGGTTAGGTAAGCCGGTTCCGATTTCGCTAAAAAGTGTTTGTGCTCTAAACGCATGAACGGCGATATCAATGATCCCTCTCGTATCCCATGCTTCAATTTAATATGCCTTTTCAGATTGTCGGATCTCGTTAATGATATCATGCATATTTGGCATTGATATTTATCGGGGAAATGCGATTTCATGTGTTTTTTTATGTTCGCTACGCTCTTGCCGCAAAGCTTACAACACTCGGTACCGAGGTTAGAGTGTTCTAGCTTCGACTGACTTTCTTTATTTATATCCTTCTCTTTTTTGCAAGTTCCTGATGTTCCTGGAATTACAAGATCCCGTTTCAATTAGATTTGCTTAGACGACTAATTAATGATTACCGACAATCTCTACTAGACTCATGATAAGATATATATGTATATAGAAAAAATATATATATATATATATAAATCTGTATATACCTTTCATGTAGTCATACTCTACGATCAAGTCAAAAAAAAAGGTTGCAGAAAAGAGGGGATTCTCTCAATTAATAACGTTCTCCAATCAATAACGATGATATTACAAAACACCACACTCGTATATATATATATATATATATTATATATATATATATATATATATGTGATATAACATGTCTATAAATGCCTACTTGTAACTAAATATATAAATATTCATGTCATAGAAACAAAAAAGAAAAAATAAATAAATAAATAAATAAAAAACGCACACCTACGATTTCATCATTATCAAGAATAACAATTCAAAACGCAAAGCTAGGCATAACACGTTGTCACACAACTGAAGAGAACAAACCAACATCGAGAAAAAAGAAAATATTGAAAAGAGGGGAAAAAAAAAAAAAAAAAAANATAAGAAATATGAAAAAAAAGAATTCTAAAGTAAAAATTCTAGAGTAGAGGATATGAAAAGTAAAAGAAGAGGTTCGTTTAAAAGAATAACGCAAGCGGAAGAGTCCTTGTTGGAAGAGAATTGCTTATAAATGCAATATTTCTCAAAACTAGTATATTCGAAAATAAAAATGGTTTTGAAGTTGTCGTCAAAAAAAGTTTCATTACTATTTTCCTTTATCGATGTTTATATGTTTGTACAAATTGATACACACACGCGAAATGGATCGTGGAGATTAAAACAAAGACTCAAACTCTTTTCTAGAAATATAATCTATGACCCTTACCATTTTATCCAATGATACGAATTAAAATAAAACCAAATACTAAAACGACAACCATGTCAGGAACAAAGATGACAAAAAAGACAACGACGACGACGACGATGACGATGACGACGACGACGACATGTCTGCAAGAGCGTCAATAGTTCTCAAAAAAAAAAAAAAAAAAAAAAAAAAAAAGGTTAAACGAACAATCACGTTAGCAACAAAATCCTTACATTCTCTGACCATCGATGTCACGTATAACGCAACCTGTTTCTCTTGAGACAATCACACGCGACGAAAATCGCCTCAAGAATAATCACGATTATACCATCGAAAACGACCGTGTTATGTAACTCGTTTTGCTACCGGTATGACGTTCGTGTTCGATCACTTACGTAACAAAACGCAGAACGCGTTATTATATCCGTATTTTGTTGCTAATATTTTCGTTTATTCTCGTGTAAAAACTGGCGATACACATGTTAAAGACAAATAGCGCAAGAGAGACGCGTGAGAATGTAAGATTAAGATCGGTAGTTACGATGACGTAAGATGTGGCATAAAGGTATTTGTAAGAGGATAGAGAAAACAGTGTGTAAAAGACATGCACAGAGAATCCCGCCGTGATAATGATAATGATATACGTATATATATACATACATACACACGTACATATAGATGTATGGGATATATTTACATATATATACGTATATACATATATATATGTACTCGTTTATAAATAAATTTTATAACTATAGACACAAGACACACGTATATACATTTGTACCTCACGCGAACATTCACTCATTCATTCGAAAGCCTCTTGCAAAAATGTTCACACCGTTATTTGGCCACGCACACACAGATCCACTGAATAGGTAGAGGGATAAATGTGTGGATGCGTGTGTATATGTATGCGCGTGTATATATGTATATATATGTATGTACGTGTATGTAGGATAGAAAGAGGGGAAGGAAAAAATAAATAAATAAAAGGCAACATACATAAGATCATACATACGCAGTCATCGATCACACGACTATCTTAAATAACTCAATCACAACAGGAATGTACTGTCCATTTGCTGATACCAACAGAAGAAATGTCCACTTTGCCGATACCACTTTCCAAAAAAAAAAAAAAAAAAAAAAAGAAGAAAAAAAAAGAAAAAAAAAAGAAAAAGAACCAATTGTGTTTTTGTTAGATATAGTTCCTATTGTATTATTAACACAATTACTGGATTTATAACTACCACATAATGACATAGCAAATGCACGATACCATCACCACAACACCAAGGATGAATATTATGTCATCTATACCCGTATATATATATATACATATATATATATACATATATATATAGTACACGCACACACATCGTCAGTTCATGTATACATATATATACACATACACATATACAGGATACGTCGTAGCAAAGAAAGTTGTTCGTGTTTTCTAAAAAGAGGTTACCACTCACTACGCTTGCCAGACTTGGAAATAGAGGGATGCTCGCTTCGTACGCCTATGTACGATTCGACGCGCAAAAATTCTTGCAAACGTGCATGCACATCTCCCTCGATTTCTTAGATCTCGCGTATTTCCATCTCTTTTCCATTTATTCTTTTCTTAATTATCAATTTTATTTTTAATTTTTATTACTGAAAAAAAATATATAACAATAACGACACAAATAGATTCGTGTATTATACGGAAATAAATTAATTAAAAAGTGATGAAAAATTAATTTGATAACAATAACCATGATAATGGTGTAGAAACGAAGGGGAAATACGTGAAATCTAAATGTAATTTTGATCGTAATTATAGATATTTATAGGTCTTACCATCGAGCCCGTCGAGCATTTCTGGGGGATTATGATGTTCAGATGATTCAATTCCTGACACGCCATCGCTTAGCGTGCCTGTTGTTGCTCCTCCTTCTTCTCCTAGCAGTCCAACTGGATGACCCTGCACACGTCACGATTATACATTATAAATTCTACTGTTGAACAAAGTCGCTTCATATCATTTATCTATGGAATTCCTCCGTCTCGAAAAATCTACCATTATTATCACATTCTGATTATTATATGCTATAAGCAACGATAGAAAAAAATTCATTTTCAAATAATCTCTGAATAATAATAAATATTAAAATAAATTAATATTTCATTTATTTGAAAAAATAGTAAATAAGATAAATAAATATAAAAAGAGCACAAAATTGCAATCGAAATGATTTTTTTTCTTTTTGCTGTTTACGAAATTTTTTTAAATCTACACAAATATAAAATATAATACATACTTTTAATTATTCAAAATTTACAAATAATAAAACAAAGCTTATAACAATCATTTTTTTATTTACATAATTAATAATAACAAGAGAGAAGGATTTATCATTCGATGAAACACAATCCATTGAAATCCTAAATGCATGCTTATTCGTATATTTGATACGATAAAATCAGCATTCTCTATAATAAAAATATTGGAATTTCATATTTCACGCGTGAAATATTCATCACAGAAGCGCATCATTATAAAAATGCACATGCTTTGGCAATTCGTTTCTTCCTAACAATATTTTAATGTTAATAACATGATTCGACAGTTCACGTTATTATCTGTATAAACGTTACATAAAAATGTTAGGTTCAAAAACCTATAAATGTGAATTTTAATATATTCGATCACTTTGTAAAAGTATATGTCACGTCATAAGTAATTAAATATATAAATGTATTTTAAATATATAAATGTATTTTACCCATAAAAATTTATATCTTTCTTCGACTTAATTTATAAACTCTAATATATTCTTAACGCATTATTAAAATAATCTACAATCTAAGCAATATACACAATTCATAAAATTTTCTACATCGTGTTATTAAATATTCGTTAAAATATCTAATATTTTTAACAAGAAGTTTTCCTTGAATCAACCAATTTTAGCATGCACACACATATATTGTATATTATAATTGGAATAAAAAATGAAATTTATAATTTTAATTATATATAATTAATTAATCAAGACACATACCAGACTTAATTCATATAATGCTAATATAAAATATTTAAAAATGTTATAATTAAAATTGAAATTCTTAATAATCAAAAATATAAAATAAGTATAGCATTAAATACTACACATATCATTATTTTTATAAATTTCATTTGCTTTATCGAAAAGAATTAATTATAAGATTTGATAAAAGAGGTAAAAAAAATGTTCTAGGTATTTGCGATAACAACCATAAAAACAAATCGATGCAAGGCACATTTTTAATTTGTGTTTATTATATTTAAAATGCATGAATTTTATTTTAATAATTTGTTAAAATTAAATATAGAAAAATATATATATACTTTTGAAAAATTTCAAAATATAATGTAAAAATACATCGTATATTTTTTAATAAGACAAATATCATGCAAACATATTTTATCATAATGTGGCATGACTGATAGTGTTTATACAGTCTCAAATAATTATGCATATACATGCAGATATGATTTTATAATAATAAAAAGTAAGAAAAAAAGAATGTTTACGAAGTAATTTTGTCTTGCATGACAAACCATTTTTTTATGGTAAAAATTAATCTGAATCTTAATTGAGCAAAATAAATCACAAATCAATATTATTAAAATGCATTCATAATAAAAAATCAATATGTTTCCATGATGTAAGTATAATTTCCTCTTGCTTCACTTTCTTTTGCAACACACAAATTATGAGCCTTGCACTTATCATGATGATTCACAATTTCAAGTCTAAAATTACCATTTCCAGCAGCAAATGAAGTACGTATTTCAGGCATTGAATCACTCCATTTTCTACAATATTTACAAAACATAAGGTTTGATCTCTCATCATATTGAAGCCAAGAATACATATCTAACCATCCAACTTTAAATTTACCAGTTTTTCTACTTTGAGGAATAGAACGTTGTGAAATATTACATAAAGTTGATTGAATTACTGACATGCTTGGCTGTGGATTTACAATTATTGATCTATGTATCTCATTATTATCATGAAATTTTTTAGCACTTGCATTACTTTCTGGAAATGAATCAAGAATGGAACTGAATTCTGCATTACTATTTTTCTGTGAATTACACTTTAAAGATGTAGATTGATTTTGCGAAGATTTGTAAGAATTATCATAACATTCAGATGTAGTCCCTGACATATTGATAGACATAGAACCTCCAGCCATGATAGTGCTTTCACAAGAAACTTGTATCACAGCAGAATCTTGTTGATTTTGGGTCATGTTCTGTACATCCATAGTTTCGTCACTCTTCCCATCTCTCTGAACTTCCCACTCCACACTAGTCTGTCAACAGAGAAGGAAAGGATATGTGTTTAATCAACACATTTTTTTTTAATTTTGTCTTTTAGCATATAAGAAGCCAATTTTGTATCTCTATGATATCCCTTCCTTCCCATGTTTGTTTGGACTGAGTAGTTGTAGGAAAATAATAGACAGTCAACGATTATAGGAATAGTAACGAAACTTCATATTTTTTTTTATATAATCTACTCAATATATTGAATTATATGATATAACAATAATATCTTTTGATAAGGTATAGATTAATACAAAAATATTATAAAATACGAAAATAAAAAAGAATAAAATAACATTCTGAAATAAAAATAATACGTAATACAAAAAAATTAATCAAATTAAGATATATTAATATCAAAATTTATACTATACCAAAACTACTTTAAATAACTACAAATATAAAAAAAAACACATATCAGAATTATAAAAAAAATTGAATATTGTAATAAATAAGAAAAGATTTTTAAATTAAATTAACACAATGAGATAATTATAAAACAAAATATATTTCATGAAATATGAAATTACTATATGAACTTCGTACTAAAAAAGCATATTCATTTTATTAGTACATATCTACAAATTACCACATACCACAAATTATTTACATGCTACAAAGTATATTATTAACATGCATTAATAATATTTTTATTATAGATATTTAAAAGGTAATTATATAAAAAAAAAAAATACTTACTGGGAGGGAAATGTTGTCATGGAAGTCTGGTAAGTGATGATCTAACTCTTGCTTGATCGAAGGTTGTGGCTGTGATGCAGGAGACATAGGTCGACTACCATCTTCCAAATCAGCTCCCATGGCATTATTTGACTTTGGAATCACAGGAGGGCTTGATTTGTAACTACATTGTGACGATGTCTGAAAAATGATAAATTAATTGAATTAATATTAAAAATTAATATTAAAATTGAGTTTATTTAAAATAAAATGAAAGATTTCTTGGATTAAATAGAATTATTTTTATTACTACATATTATTTATAAAATCTGTATCTAAATTATAATATATAAAATATTTAGAAAAAAAAAAATTCAATACATCATTATTTCTGGGAGATTAGTCTGTGACAAAAATGATATTTTAAAATCAGCATTTGTAATATACCTCAAGGTTACAAGTACAGATATTTGGAAAGCTGTCCAATCATATAGATATACAATTTAATGATAATAAATTATGATCATTATCTTCGAATTTTAAGCGCTACCTGTAAAGAAATTTTGCGCATATACACGTGACTACACGTGTATATGTATACGTAAGCATGTATAACGCACGCGCATAACTTCGCGGGAGCATATGTTTTGAAAATAATTTCTTCAAAAGTGATTAATTTACATACATCTAATATCTTAATATAAATTTATGCATAATACAGAAATTACTAAACAAATGCACGATAAAATAAAAAAAATTATATCATACATATACTTTATATTCAAAGATAAATAATACATATCATTATTTTTTATCATTATTAATACTTTACTAATTTAATATTATTGAAATATAACCTCTTTTTTAATTTTGATTATAAATTACTTATTAAATATTATAATGAAAATAAGGATTATTTAAAAATGAAACTGATGTCTACAATTATTGGAGTATGTGAAAACTTTAAAAATAATAAAGTTAAAAAAACATAAATTGTAATATTTTGCTTTATATTTTTTTCTAAAAAAAAATATTAACAAAATAATTATAATAAGTATTGTAAGAAAATATATACAAATATTTTTGGAGTAATAAGAATCTCATAACTTATAATGCGATAAATCACTATTATTATTTTATTATATATTATATATTTACTAAATTTATTATTAAATAACTATTTTCTGTATACACAGATATTAAAATAATAATAAAAAGAATTATTATAAAAAAAAAAAAAAAGAAAATACAATATATTACAATATATTACTAATAACAAAAATATGAAATTAATAATACTTACATGCACAAAAATGTACAATATTTAAAATTACATACCTGAGAATCTGACATGAACCGTTCACTGGGTGGACCACTAAGGGAAACATCATAGCTGCCCGAAGCCTTTCGTTTCCTCTTTTCAGGAGGAGGCTGAAGGTTAGGCGATTCAGTATGCCTAATACCAGTTTGCGTTTCTGGTTCTGGCGATGGACTTTTCTCTTCTGTCTTGTTATTTACACTATTATCAGTGAGGCCTCTAATCTGTAATGCCTCAGCTGTTTTAAGGAACATCGGTAACAGATGCTGACTAACGTTAACTTCCCCCTTATACATAAAGTGCAGCAATGCCTTCATTTCCGTTTCATTGACATCCTTCAGGAATATAATTGGATGGGGATGGGTATTCTGAAGGAAAATGCTCTCAAAATATGGACTGCATGCAGAGAGTATCGTCTGGTGTGCCTTGAAAGTCTCTCCAACACACGCCAGGGTTACGTCGCAGAGTGCCTCTCTGGCAAGTAAGGAGCTGAGAACGTCTGTGAGGTTGGCTGGATGGTTGTTCCACCGTAGGCAATACTGTTGGTCCATCTTGTCTATCTCCAATCCCGACCCTACAACCAAACTAGCTGCCCTGAACTGTCCACACTAAAGACTTTGATCACCCTGACTACAGAATGACTCCCTAACCCTTAAAACGTTAACTCACACGCCTTCTTCACGCACACTCTCCTATATCGGCTTGACGATATCTCCTCAGAGATTATATCGCAACTCTAGACCCACACAACTTCCTCCGTGCTTCTGCAAATGTGCCACATTGCAGTATAACTGTAAAACCCTTCAGGGTTCACGCGTCGCTACTATACGTGCCGAAAACATTTTTTCGCATAACCTCGGCAACGACAAATAACTCTGTACACGATTTCACTTCGATAAATGTAGCGCGAATTAAAAGAAGGTTAGAGTATTAATTACGACGCAGTATGTGTCACCCACGGATATGATAATATCCTATATTCGAAGATAATGTTTTCGGCAATGTCAATATTCGCGAGGCTTGGGCGCCATTGTCGGCCGTACTCGTCTAGCCACGAGCCTTCTCGCGAAAACTCGATTTGTTGATGCTCGATTTCTAACCATTCAAACACGCTTCACACGCGGCTTTATTTACCTAAACCCAGCGCCAGCTAACTAACGTATCGTATACACTAACGACCCAACTTTGTTTATCGTCCCGATGATTACTCACCTTTCGCAAACTTTTTGCCATTACAACGCCACCCGACCCTTAACGTCCACTACCATACCAATCTGCCAATGCCTACGGCCTTATTTTTAAAATACTTTTGACCTTCGTGCATCTGCCGGGGGGAATGGCGCGAAGGGCGCTCGAATTCAAACGTTACTAGTCGCACAATAAGACTTCTCCCAACAGTTTCGAATAGATAAAAGATTTTTTTCTTTTATATTTAAATATTTTTTCATTAATATTATTATAAATTCTATTTCATTATAAAATGTCACGATAAATTAGAAAAAATTATCATTATTGATAGATAAATATTTATCTATCTTTCGAAAAGTACAAAATAATAAATTATAATAATAAATATTATTTTTTTAAAATTTCTTTTTTCTTTTTCAATTTTTGTATAGAAAAAAAAAATGATCAATTATTGAAACAGTACAAAATAATAAGACAATTATAAAGTTAAACTGAAACCAATATACCGATACATAACCTATCTGAATGAAATTATTTGTGAAAATGCACAAACTATATACATAAACATTAAAAGTTAAAATAAATAAATGTCTCATTCAATTATATTTTAAACGAATGCCGAGATAAATGCATTTATCTTATTGACTGTGCATAGCACGATAATTCAACAGAAATTATACTTCGTTCAATGGGCTCTTTTCTCTTACTAACAAAATTCCTATCGTGTATTGTTATCGAAAATATAAATGATTTCAATTGTTATATATTTAATATATTTAATATTTAAAGTACAATCAAAAGCTTGAAACGTTTTCGCGATAAATAAAATTAAACGAAACGGTCTCTATTCATTTTAAAAAGCTTATGATTGAAAAACAAAAAAATCAATATAATTTCTCTTTTTGTAAAACAATTTACGAACACGTTTAAAGATATATCGTGATACTTTCGAAAGTGTTACACGGAAGTTCGGCTTTCCGTGAAACGCGACAAACTATACATCGTCACATTGTTGTAATGCACGTAATACATGTAAAATTCATAGATCCTTGAACGAAGTGCTATAAAAAGAAAGTCTCAAAACCCGTTTCCTCTTTCCCCTTAATCCCAAAGAAAAAAAAGGAAAAAGAAAAAAGAAATCGAAACTGCTTAATCCAAAGGATCGTTTATACGGTTTTATTCCGTAACTACTTCGTGACGACGATTCGTGAACACGAAGATCTCGCAATTTTTCTTTTCTTTTCTTTCCTTTTATTTTTTCTTCCTTCTTTTCAAGTCGTCCTCTTTTCTTTCTTTGGTTAAACGAGCTCAGTTATATACGAGAAGGGATTACATTTCACGGAAAATCATGCGGTGCAAAAGGGTCATTCGGTTTCATTTGACTGCAATAAACGGTAATTCGCGCTTTCTGATATTAATTTCGATACGATCCGCGAACCGGGCTGATAATCGTGTTAACCATACGAAATCAATAGATAGCGGGAAAATTGGAAAATCTTCTTAATCGGTTTTCGAATATTCGGGTTTACAAGCTTTGCCTCGGTCATTAACAGATTTAATCCGCACTTTGATTGACACCGTGCAAAATTACTATTCGTCGAGGTTATCCTCGTACGACGATATGTAAATAGAAACTCGATATATATATATATATATAAGCGGATAAAATAAATGTAATTATAATTGAATTTATCTCGAGCCTCGTTAAGTTTCTGACGATTTCGAATATTAGATCGATGAAGATAATAAGTGTTGCCAGTCGGGCGTGCCCGTGATATTTTTAATAAAAGGTAAACCGACTGGAAACGTTCGAAACGATAATTTCGAAGGAAGCTCGAGCATCGTAATAAATTACTATGGATATTTATTCCTGACGAGAAACGTCTCGTTTAACGAATACGCGTAAGCAAGCGACGAATGAGAATATTAATCGTATTACAATGGACTCGAAATTTTGTACCGAAGAGAAAAATTTAAACGATCCGTTGCTTGAATTCGTCCGCGTTCCGCATCGCGTAACTCTATTTCCAGAACATTTCTCGCGATATTCCATTTTTCGTTTTCTTTCTCATTTTTTCCCCCTCTTCTTCTTTTTTTCCCCTCTCTTTTTATCTCGAACAGAACCGCGACAGAATGTATAAACACGAAAAAAAAAAAAAAATAAAATAAAATAAAAATAAAATGATATCCGACAATATCAAATCGAATTTATTCGTTTCATAGTCGAATAATTATCAGAAAAATTGGCGCATTTACATTGGATTCCTTTTAATCGCATCGAAGAACAAACCTATCTCTAACAAAGAGCCGCGTTTTCTAGACATTAGCAACATCATCCTGGGTCAACTAAATGGTTACGCAATTAATTGTGCGAACCGGTTCCTCGAACGAGTTCTCTCTACATACCATATGAGAAAATCTGTTTTTAAAGTATATAATACATCTCATGCGTGTAAATATGAAAAAAAAAAAAAAAAAAAAAANAAAAAAAAAAAAAACTATGAACCTTCCAAAGTATAATTGTTGGAACAAACGAAAAATCGAAAACAGAAATATTCGTTGAGAATATAATGTACATGTTTGTGCGTGCGTGTTCGAGTATCGTTCGTGTAAAAGATCAAAGATCGACAACGTTAACAACAGGCATATATATATAGAGGAAAAAAAAAAAAAAAAAGAAAAAAGAATACAGTAAATCTTATCTTTAGGCAAAAAAACGGACCTGTAGATCCTCCATACAGGTGGAATACCGGCGAGCATCACTGTTATCTGCATAATTATCTCGCGATGGCCTTGATTGTTCCACGAGGAAAACAAGTGGAAGCAGGAGTATATTACATCGCGACGTATTGTATGGTTCGATACGTCGCCTGTTTCTTGCCCTACAGTTGACGTAGCATCGCGAAATAAAACATTTCTCTGTCTTGTGCGAAGCTGGCAAATCTTCAGGGACGATCTTCGCGCGATATAGACCGGAAGTGCAGCGGTGCCACGCGGCTGGCGCGATTTTTTCGCACCGCGCATGCGCGCGCGATAACTGCGCGCGCACCAAAAATTACGCGACGCGATCGTAATAACGTATCGCGTTTTTTTATCCATATTCATCATATTTCTTCTCTCATCACGAATAATCGATGGAATAATAATATTCGAGCGATCTTTTTTTCTTTTTTTTTTTCTTTTATACTCGAATCAATTCAAAGTTTAATATTAATCGTGATTCTAATTCTAATTTTAATATTAATGCGATGTTTGGCCCCATCGTTCGGATTGAATTTTACGATAGTTCGTGAAAGATATGTGCACAATTCAAGCTCGAATATAAAAAAGCAACAGAGATTCGCGACGGTGCAATAAAGTTTAATGCAGTGGTAAGAAAGTTCGCATAAAATACGCCGTCCCGATAAAAGACGCACGCTGCTGCGCTCGACCATATGTTTCCTCGGCGACAATGCGGCGATGTAGCTTAGGAGGAGAAAGAGCACGGTTAAAATCCGTGATCTTGAAACGAGGGGAAACTTTACCCAAGACCCATGTCGAACGTTCTATTATACGTTTCACGATTATTGTCTGTACAGATGAAAATCGTGACTTATGTACTTTTACGTGCATTACGAACGAATTTTCCTCCCTCTCGAGCGATATTTCGCGCGATCGATGGATCACATACGTCGATCGATGCGTCATATCGAGTATAGAATAGGCATTCGAGAAACGGGAAAAAAGAGTAGACAAGAGTATTATTTGCTTTCCGTTATCCCTTGTCGTTCGAGACAGAAACGATCGAGTGTAAACGCATCGATTTATGCTCGAATCTCTTTTTAAGCTAGTTTTAAACGTGCACGCTGCTTAAAGCGACATGAAATGAACGATAACGGTTCGTTAGTTTTGTAACATTTTTCTTTCTTTCTTTCTTTCTTTTTTTTTTTTTTTTTTCGTTTTTAAAATAATATTTTTCTAATTTTTTTTTTTTTTTTCTACGCTTTTTATCTTAATCTATGCGTAACTCGATGTATCAGCCTGCTGTACGCGCATGATAAATTATGAATCCTTTTCCCACCGCTCATCGCGGCAGATTAAAAATTAATCTTGATATATCGCTGTTGCAATATTTGTCCACCGGAGTGTACCGTCTAAGAAGTTACGATGTTTTGTGTTTGCATACGGAAAGAATGTTACCGAAGAAATATTGCATAAATAATACCGTGAAAATTCTAATGTTGCACTTGGTTCGCCTCTTTTATTCAAATCTCTACTTATAAATTTTCCTCTTTCTTCTTTTTTTTTCTTTTTTTTCTCTCTCTCTCTCTCTCTCTCTCTTTGTTTTCTTCTTTCTTAAATTCCAAGTTTTTCAAGTGCAGAACATGACTGGTTTATTCCTAAAAAATTTACATTGCAAAGTTTTATAAAAGACTATCCCATAGGACGTTGCTTTTAAATTACATCTTAAGAAATATTTCGTTCGTGAATCGAAAAACGTTTTACGCAGTTCAAACATACGAATTTCTAGAAATTTCGTATCTCTGAATTTCGAGGAAACGAATATATTTCCCTCTCGCTTTATTTTTTCTTCTTTTTCTTCTTTTTTTTCAATCCGTATCGTACAAAAAATGCTACGTTTAATATTTATTGCGTTACGTAACTAAAATTGAAATTTTTAGATATGAACTACTAGATAATGAACTATTTATTCGTCGTTAATTTAATTATAAATGTTAAATCGAAAAAACAAAGTTTTCTCAATTCACGATATTGACGCGAAATACGCGTTATCACGTAATTAATATTACAATTTCGACTTACGAAATTCTTACTTAAGAAATTCTTTTCATTAATTTCTCTTACTCGTCGAGTCTAAATTTTAATGATACGAATATATAAAAAAATATATGGACTTTTTATATACACGGGTCCTTTATCATTTAATTGAGCAAGAGTCAGTCTTTGCGCGTGTTTGAAACGTTGAAATTTCACCTCTGATAAATCTACCTCGTTTCATGGATTCCCCATGTAGGGTGTGAAAGAATATGATTTATCTCATTTTACCATCTGAAACAATGGAACCGCTGCACGATTGCAGCGGTCAGAAATTGCGCGCGTATTTCGTCCACGAATATATGTCCTCGAAAATTGACAACCCCTCCACCCTCCCCCTCCCCCTTCCACTCCCCCACCCCCATCGTATTTTTGTTCGCGCCAGGATTAGTTTACGTTTCAATCGGATGGATCAAACCAATAAACGCCAGTCTAGTTTACAGTGTATTATATTATTGAAATCCGTATAGAATTCCCCGCGTGCCGAAATTCCGACATATTTTCCGACTATCAATCGATGGAAAAACCGCTTTTCCCTTATTTTCCTATCCGATTATCAGCTCGCGTAAAAACAGAATGATAAAAGAAAAAAAACGAACGAAACGAAAACGAAATCGACCGAAAACCGAGTCGTGCATCGTTTTATTAAAGATTGGGAAAACGAAGAAGCGCGTTTTCAACGTTCGTTCCAGTATAATACATCCGTCTCACGTTCGGCGGTGGTTTCTCGGCCTATTCTGTTCCCGTCTTAGTCCCTTGAAGGGAGAGAAAGAGAGAGAGAGAGAGAGAGAGAGGGAGGAACACGCGACGCATGCCTCTAGATCTCGCGATCGATGGGTCCGGCAGGTCTGGTAGGCTGTTTTGCGAGCTGCAGAATAGGCGCGTATCCGTGGTGGCCTCCCCTCTAAGCGTACACAGCAGCCGCGTGCAGCCAGGCCGCAAGGAAGGCCGAGCGCGCAAATCGAACGTGTTGTCCTCGCGACAGTGGTAACGACGCGAGGGTGTCGCGCGTTATGAAAATCTGAAAATCGACGCGCCGTTGCCTGTGCAGGCGTGTTTGGCGCATCGTTACCTGGTTTACTGAAATTCGTGAACATGAAATCCTGTCGGCCTGCCGTACAGCCGCACCACGCAGCACGCAGGAGGATCAGATCTCCTCCCCCTTACGGAAAATCTTCCGCGACGATCTTACGAGGACGATTCTTCTCCCCTGGACAAGAGACCAAGAGATCCTCTTCACGTTCACGTAACTGCGATCCCTGTCGTAGACAGTACATCCGCGCACATGACAGTTACAGTTACAACAGGCAATAAAACGGCACTTGATGGTTACATCGTTCGCACCGAGCGGAGTATGCAGTATCTTAAACTTGTCTCGGCGATCATGACGAGGCGCGCGACGAAACAGTGAGAGAAGAGTTTTCAGTTTTTTCCCCCTTTTTTTCTTTATTATTTCCTTTCCTTTCTTTCTTTCTTTTCTTTTTCAGAGACGAGAACGAGCACAGTTACGATTCGTCGTCGATTCGGGAATAACTTTCCGTGTATATGCGTATATACATATATATATATATATGTGTGTGTATGTATATATATATATATATATATATAGAAATGTATATATATATATAACTTTCGATCGTTAGAGAATCGAGACGAGATACGATCTCGCGTATCACGATTATCTCACGACGCGGCGTCGATGACGTACAAATGCGGACGAAACTCGAAGAGGGAGAAACAACAAAGTGGCGTGTGTACCAAGTTGGCCGCGGAGCGCGACTGAGGCCAGGGGTGGCGCCGAGAGAGAGAGAGGGTGGCGTGGATGCAGGTCGACGTGTACGCTGCACGGACACATCCCCCCTAATGAATGCACCAGGCATGTGCGAGGGATTTTATGTTCGCCGCCGCCGCCGCCGCCGCCGCCACCACTCCCGCCACCCCTCTTTCCCCTTTAGCCTCCGCCACTACTACCACCAACCGAGAATCGGCCGCCACCCCCGTCGCCCAACCTCCGCCAGTTTCCACCCGTCCCCTCCGACCCTCCCCCCCCTCCGCTACTCAACCCCTGCCACTCTCCTCCTCCTCCTCCTCCTCCTCCTCCTCCTCCTTCTCCTCTGTCCTCCTCTTCCTCTTCCCTCGTTCTTCACCCTTCCTCCTTCACGCATCCCTCTCTTTTTCCCACCCTGTCCCTGTCGCTCCTCGCGCAACCCTTTTCTCTCCAAAGAGTGAACAGCAGCGGGCCACCACCCAACCGAGCCGCGTTGAAGCCCGTTTTCCGCACGCGGCACTCAATGCGTTGCACTCGTCGCAGCGCGAGCAGACGCGCGCCGGTCCCCAGGAAGCAGCGTGGGCGGTTTTGTCTCGTTTGCCGGAACCCTCCGCTCCTGGGGCTGTGCCCGGTTTTCGTGCCTCCTCCTGCGTGCCTGCGGACGTACCCTGCACCCGCGATTGGTACGCACAACTCACCCGCCCGTACGCGAATCCTCTCCTGCACCTGCCACATCTCTCCCTCTCTATCTCGTCTCTGTCTCGTTTCACGCGCCTGCCTCTTTTCCCTCCCCCACTCCCTCTTCCTCCTCTCCCTCCCCCCCCCGTTTAACCCCGTCTCGCCCGCTCCTTCGCTCCTTCTATTTATCCCCGTCTCCGCCGCGCCGTCTCACCCGTTCATCTTCGGATTTCTCTCGCTATTTCTTAGGGATTCATTGTGCTCCATCCGTGGCTCCGTGGTGGCCACCAACTATGGGAATGTCGTTATCGAGGGGTGGGTGCGAGGTTCTCACCCAACGATTCCTCGCACGCACGCTCGTCGAGCGCACCCCCTCCCTCGTGGTAACCGGAAACCGGGTTGTAACATCGAGAGGATGTTACAACGTCGGCCGTCGTGTATCTTTGTAGCTACATCGGCTCGAGCATCGGTTGATCGTTATGACGGAGAGAGAGAGAGAGAGAGAGAGAGAGAGAGAGAGAGAGAGAGAGAGAGAGAGAGACAAATGTTCGAAAAATGTGGCCAACTCGAGCTCTGATGAACCCTGATGCACTGGTTTCCTCCGTGAACGACGATTCGAGCGTGAGTGTTCGTCGTAAGGGTGCACTTGGGCAGTTTGATCAAGGTCGGCACGCGAAGTGGATCACGATGTTAACTCTCTTAATGTTAACCCAGGACGAAGGGGTGTTTAATGTTCGTTAAACGCTCAATTCACCGCCATTTATCTTCCTGGTGAACTGATCTATCTATCCTCCGATATTTCGAATATCCGCCTCGTGCAAAGATCGCGCATATCTTTAAGACGACTTGGAAACGGTAATACCCCTTTTTTTTAGAAATCGTGCGACAAGCAAGGGTAATTTTTCCCTTTTTTCCTAGGCGTTCTATTTTTTCGAGAAAAGAGAAAAGGGAAAAGTATCATCAAGGTTGAATAAAAGAAGGAAGCCTAACCTCTGCCGTATCCGCGTGACCGGGTAAAGGAATTTTCGTATTATCTCCATTTTCGTTCGTATACTTGTTCAAATTTGTATTCAGACCACGGCTTATCTTAAATTTCTTCCTCGTCCTCGCCGCGCTTCAACCACTCCATGTAACGCGCATTAATTTCAGATTACATCGAAAGCTATCAAGGTTTCGCGTGTCTTGCCGATCTGCATCCGGATAAAATACATTGGTCGAGTTCCAAGGATCCCTCCTCCGATCGTTAACCGGTGGATGAACGAATAAAATCGTCGTTTTACAACCCTCGACCCCTCCCGGCCGGCCTCCCTTACTACATTTCCTGAATGCGCCTGAACCCGTGGACGAATATACTTTATCTCACGATTGAAAAGATCGCATTGTAGCTCACCTTCTAGATAAGAGACACGGGAGGCTCTAAAGATTGAAATAAAGTATTTACTCGTCCGGTACCTCCTCGCTGGGATTGTGCCTCTCCCAAATCCTTCACTGAAAATCCACGGCAGACGGCGGTGGATGTCTTATTTAAAAAGTATATTTCCGCGAGGGAAGGAACGGCCCCCGTTAACTGGTCCGCATTACAACGTATTTTTGCCGTTGGTCGGGGAAATAAAAATCTTGGGGACAAAGGAGGAGCGGGGGAGGGATAAGAGAGCGGAAAAGAGAGGAGTTGAAATGGCGAAGAATACGGGGAGAGACTGAGAGAAGAGCTGAACGATATATATATACTACATATATACGTATATATATATATATTCAGACGAGATTTTTTTCGGTCGAGCGTGAAGGAAAAGATCAGATCTTTAATAAACTTGCTTTCCCCGGTTATAAGAGGAATAACCATTACCTATTAACTGTCAAGTGCACGGTTCGCTACCGTATCGCGGTAAACACGCGTGGAACCGGATCCAAGGTATAACAACAAGGTGAAACGAAAGAAAAGAGAACGTTTTAAAACTTTCCGGAATAAGGAAATTTTTAAGAAGAAGCTTGGGGGAGGAAGAGCGGTGAAACCGTATTATCATATTTTCGACATTTTTTTTCTTACACTTGTCGCGAAAATCTTGTCGCGAGTCGATTAAATCATTGAATCTTGCCAACGATGCACGCAAGTTCACGGTTCGAGTGAACGATTACGCGTTAAAATCCAAGGAAAGGGTAGGGGACAATGTGAAATGCAAAAGAGAGAGAGAGAGAGAGAGAGAGAGAGAGGGAGGGAGGGAGAGAACGCGACTCGGGGTGACGCGTTAAGGGTGACACCAGGCCGGTGTCATTAACGAAGCGCGGTGGCACGAAGCCGTACGTCCTACAGTGTATCATCGACGTCGTTGAACAATGGCCGCCCCCGTCCGCCCCGGCGTGTTATTCGAGCATCTAGTTATACACGGTTATTCAGAAAATTGTGCTTGAATGAAGTGTGCATCGCTGATTAAATAATACCGGGGCCGTGCAATAACGATTTCATCAATTTATTGCGCATCATCGATTGAACCTAACGCTGCCTCTATTAATTTACCGACATTGGGCCCAGAGGGCATCAATTTGTAGCCGTCGGTTTGCTAACAGCACGCCAAATTGCGAGGCCGCGATGAATCGACGCCCGGCCGTGATACTCTCCGCGATACCCTCCGTGCGCAATTTTCCATCTCAAAAATTATAAATTCAATCATGGACTCGAGCGTGGGGAGGAGAGAGAAAGGAGAGAGAAAGAGAGAGAGAGAGAGAGAGAGAGAGAGAGAGAGAGAGAGAGAGAGAAGAAAAGGCGACCAACCATCGTGCTTCTCTTTCGTTCGAAAGGAATCGAATGATCCGCCATTTTATTCCAATCACGTTTTTGCAACGGGACGTCATGTCGAATGAACATCCTATGAAAGATTTACCCTTGTCTCTTTCATCGAGCCTCGAACGGGCTCGACAAGGTGGAAATGAACTCGAGGGCAACAACTTCTGCCGTTTCTTCGCGCGCCCTCCCTTTCCGTTGGGCGAAAGCCGATGGTGGATAGAACGGGCGGTGTGGCGGTTGAACCGCCAATTTCGTGCCGTTACACTGTTGAAATATTTTCACTGGATTTCGGCTGAAAAGCTCGCGTTAATGAATTTGGGAAAGGGCTTGTAAACATTCGCTGATTGCTCAACTTGTGTACCCGCGTGAATAAATATTGCGCTTGTGGCACGCAGGAAATACGGGAACCGGAAATTGTTCCTGCTATTTATACATATGTATATATTTCTGATCCTATTTATTTTTCGATTTTTCTAAACCCTTTTTTTTGTTGTTGTTGTTGATATCCTATTTCTGAGAGGGAAATGGTTTAAATTGTTACCGATTCGAAGTCGGCGCGTTCGCAGTGTTATGGCACGTGTATCGTCGATGCGGTATTTTATTCTGTTGTGTAATAAACTGGGGAACGATTTTATGAAATATCTGTGAAGAACGAAATAGTTCTTTTAGAGGAGATTACTTTCTACGACGAGCCTCGATGAAATTTTTCAGAAATAGTCCTCTTCAAGAAATTCTTTTTCCTTGTTAATAATACAATTATTACATATAATTTCATTATTAAACATTCGTGATAAAAATTCCGTGAAAACAATTGAATTACCTTACTTATTTCGAATGCAATATTGATTCCAAAATCTAGATCGTGTTACGAAACTTTTTTAAGCTTCTAAGATTAGTATTACTTAGTATTACTATCGAACTATTAGAAGATCACACAGCAACCGATATATAATATATCGAAATAAATCTAAAATCGCAAAAAAAAAAATTTCTTAATTTTTCCACGTTCGATCAACAACGCAAAGAAGAAAACGCACCGAACCTCCTTCAATGTCTGATCATTAACTCGTCCGCCGACCATGCAATTTGCCATAATTGAAAGATTTCATTGTTTAACGCACTCGTACGTGCAAAGTATCCACCCCAGATCCATCCCAGAGGAGCGTGGAGGAACAGAAGGGTGGAAGAAAAAGAGAGAGAGAGAGAGAGAGAGAAGAAAAGAGTTTGAAAGGGACGTCGGAGAGAAAGAAAAACAAGTCGTCGTCATTGTTGGCCGTTGACAATGTGGGTGTACGTTTGCATCGGGACACGTATCGCAACGAACTTGTATATATAGACGCTGCGTTAAACTGCAAAGAAAGCGCGGCGGAGGCCGTCGTTCTCATGGAAACTGGAGTGAGAAACTCGTGGAGGAGTGTTGAAGAAAGAAAAAGGGGATGAGGAAAGTTGGAAATACTGAAAAGAGAGCACCGTCCCACGACTATCGATCACTCTCACTTCATCATCTTCTCGGCTTCGTGCGCGCATATCTTGGTCTTCTAGATAGCGTGCAATCAACCGGCCACGATGAATCTGCCTATCTGGTGGAAGTCGCAATAAAATTGACGATAGGGAGAAAAAGAGAGCTTGTTAATTTCCTTTCCTCCTCCTTTATTCCCTTCCCGTCTCCGCGTCACGATCACTTCGATCTCTGTCGCTAATCTGTCTCTGTGTTGCAGAGTTCGCGTGATTTTTAGTTGAAAAAAAAAAGGGAGGGGAGGAGGAGAAAGAAAGAAAGAAAAGGAAGAACGATACCGTGGAATATTAAAAGTTCCACGCTACGTGTACAACGATGACGAAGGCAACAGCTACGACGTTCGTTACTCGTTTCGATTACTACGAAACGAAGCATTAATACACGAGCAGTTAATTAATACGTCGGCTATCTTTGCCGTGAAACTTTCTTCTTCTATCGCGAAGCGTGCCTTGCCGTGTCAAAGACTGATGAAAAACCTTTTTTGGAGGGAAAGTAAAGCGCCCCTCATCTGGCCCGCATCTTTATCCGTTAAGGGTGGTTCCTGAAAGTTAGAAACTGGTCAGGGAAAATGGATAGAATTGTGAATAAAAAAGAAAAAAAAGAAGAGAGGACTATAAATAACATCTTGTTTCTAATCGATCCATCCGGAAGAGGATGGGTTCATTATCAATCTTGTTGAGGGAGTTAGCTCAGGCTACAGCTGTCTCATTGACTTTCCACGCTACGCTGGTCTTTCTTTCTTTTTTTTTCTTTTTTTTTTTCCCCTCTAGAGCGAGGATGGTATCTGGCCAGACACGAGGGAAGAAGGATCAGCTGTGCGTCGATGGAGCAAAAGTAGAATGGGAACGTGGAGGAAGCCACGGGAGTCGCGTGCCAGACCACTGTCTCCCTCGTACGTCGGGAAACAGCAATTGTATATAGGTATACATAGCTGCAGGAGAATGGGACGGTTTACACAGGCGTGTTCGTGTCGTCGTCGAGCCCTCAATTCGCTCGGAAAGTGAGCAGGGGAGAACGGAGAGGAGAGAGAGAGAGAGAGAGAGAGAGAGAGAGAAAGAAAGGAGATGAAAGAAGAAAAAAAAAAGAAAAGAAAAGAAAGGAAAGAGACACACTGGTGACGAGAGAAGGTAATGGCAACGATACCTGGGAAAACGGTCTGAAAATAAGGGGTTGAAAGAGGGCATGTACATGCGTCATGACCCGGCTAAACAACCGTCGCAGAAGCGAGATGGTTTAACCCTCGTGTGTTCTTCCTCCACGGGCACGAGGAAAACGGCTGGGTCGGCCAGAATAGAGCTACAAGTGGTGATAAACGATGGCCGAATCCACGTTATTGCCCACGTTGGGGAAGCCACGAAAATTTCTACGGAATTCAACTGCTGCTGATTCCTGGCTGAATACGCCGCATCCGCTTCATATCGTCGTTCCTCTTCCCCTTGAATACGGATTCACGCAATGCGTACGAAATACACGCATTCATGCGTCGGTGTATCGGTCTTCGAACGACGACGGACGAATAACGAGGCGAGTTGACAAAGCTTCCCTTTTACAGGCCGGTTGGTAAAGGAGCGGGGGAGGATGAGCGTTGTCTTGAATTACATTGAATATAATATTGCAGCTGCAATTATGAATGGTATGTATAATTAATCGATCGCGCGATAGAGCGATGGGGAATGGGTCGTTAAGATGCCAGAAGAATTATTAGATACGTGCATTCTTCACCATTCCCTCGATGTTCAACAGGTTAGAAAAATTGGGTTGCGACGATTAATAAAAGGTCGTGAGAAGAATGGATTATTTGGAGGGCAAATATCTTCTCTTCGAGTAAACGAGTGCCTCTCTTCTCCGGATACATCGCTACGCCTCTGAAAGCATTTTCAACGAACTGTATCGTGCTCAAAGGAAACGCCTAGCATCCTAGCCGAGCCTCTGTTAGTATAGAATATACTTGTCCTCTCCAGAAGGAGGACAGGAGAAGCGGTGATCGCGCAAAACCGTTCACCGCGCGGCAAATTTCACTTGGGAGCGTTCCGCCTCTTTTCTCCGAGAAATCTACGCTCCTATGGACGGAAAATGAAATCCGATATTGTAATTCCACGCGCTTGTGTAACGCGAGCCTGCCGTTGAAAACGTCGAGGACGACGACGTGTGCGTCGCCCTTTTTCAAACACGACGCTGCTGCACTTCGTGAAATGAATTTAAAGCGCGGACGCCGCCACGGTGACGCGAACGTGAACGCGAGCGATATTAAAACACAAAACGGCCGAGTGTCAGAACAGAAATTCGCTAGAAACCACCGGCTACGCTTTATATGGTACACCTAATAATAACGCGGCGAGATCACGTGTTAGTTTAAATTCGACGCGTGAACGCTAAATGTGAAATTAGTTGTATCCCAAGTTATCTACGCCAAGTTTGAACTGCGAAGAAAGAAACGGTATACCGGGGCAGGATTAGCCTTTCAATGACGTTACCTCTCTTCCAACTTTCCACAACGTCTGAAAATTTTGGATCTTGTTCTTTGTTTTTTTTTCTTTCTTTCTTTCTTTCTTTCTTTCTTTCTTTCTTTTTTTTTTCTCTCCCAACGTCAAACAGTTCGCTCGCTCGTTTGCTCGCCAACAACGACGCCCGCTTGTCCGTTCGCTATTCCGTGAATAAATAATTGAACGAACATGCGCGTGCGAAAGCATGATGAAAATTTCAATCGATGGCTTTCTGTCCGTTCACTAGTTCAAAATTATTTATTGATCTTCTCTCTTTTTCACAGACTATTCCATACACTCTGTTTCACACTCCCTTCTTCCATCTCTGTTTCTTACAGTTTCCATCTCTGTTTTTCTCTATGGGAGTGGCCGCGAGTCCTGCGACAAGGAATTCTTTGCTCAGCTTCCATATTAACCTACTCGGAAATCTAGTTTCACCTCGCATTTTTGCGTCGCTAAAATGCTACTACGCCTGTTTGTCGGATCACAGGACTCGTTTCGCGGTTATAAAACGCGCGTTGATGTATCTGTTTCTTTCAACGGCATCATGCTTGGAGGGAAACGGGGAATGCGAATCTCTTCGCTTAATGTCTAATCTAGGTCAACGGAATATATGGAATCGTGTTGGAACATCGTGACTATAATATCTAGATTGATTAAATATATTCAGAATATTAGTGAAATTTGTTGGAGAACACATCTGAGAGGTAAATAATGGCGAAATCTATATTCTACTCTGTAAGAATTTCCATAACAAATAATTCACATTGAAATGAAGTGATATATACGTTACAATAAACTTCATCTCGCTTATAATGTTTCTTATGGATGAAAATTCCATTTTTGAAGGTACTGTCATGATAATATACATTGGCCCTTTGTTTACTACAAGTAAATTTCAACAAGTTGTGTATCGTGCTCAAAGAGGAGATATCCAACATCCTACTCAGTTTCCTTTCTGCTTTTGAGAGGAAAAGACAAATAAATGGGAAGATAGATAAATAAAACGTTATCTACTATTAAATTATATCATAATAAACATTATGCAATATGCAATATTTATAGTTATAAAGAATTTAAAGATTTGATATTAATATTTTTGATATTGAACCATTGAATTTCTCTATATTCAAATAAACAACTTCACATTAAGCATTTCAAATTATTCAATCATAATACAGTTATACAGTATAAATTGAATTACTTGATATTTATAATCATATGCTAAATTTGATCTTTGTGTAATTACAAGTATCTTTAAACGAACCATTCTTATTCAAATAAGAATTTCACAAAAACTATTTTTCATTCCATGTTACCATTTTATTCATATAAGTTTGCGGGACAAAGCAAGTTTGAATTTGCGCCTGCGAGTCAGAGATTCCGTTTTCTTTACTAGACTCAGCACATCCTTGTTCCTCTTTATACCTAGCTGGCAAGTCGCGCGTGTCAATAATACACATGCCTACTCCGTATATATGTATATGCAAATGCATGAGAAGACATGTAAATAAGCAATTCAAGTAACGTCAGGCATTGCTGCTAAATTACCCCACGAATCGATCATGCTTTTGTTGCATTTATTACAACGATAAATTCGAGAACGAGAGACGTCGAACATCGACCAGGAAGTAATAGACGAGTGATAAAGTTGAACGCGGGGAATTTTTATGAGTAAATCGATGTTGCACGCGGAAAGGGCAAAGCGGCGTGAGAGGGGAATAGCAGGCGATTAGGAAGGGGCTGAGAGAAAGAGGGAGGAGGATGGAATGAGAGGAACAGGAGGGAGCGAGAGTGTATTACAGGAAAGAGCAAGAAGAGACTCGATTGACCGAGGAGAAGGGAGAAACGATAGAGGAGTGAGAGAAAGAGGGAAAGAGAGAGGAAAGTAAAATGTGTGTACGCATATGTAAGAGCGACAAAGAAGGTGAAGAGGCAAAGGGCGCTAGAAATCTGGAGCGGGGATAGATCCGGGGGCTTTTGCGCTGTGCATGCGACCTTGAATGCTAGCCAGCCTAGACCTTGCCACAGCTCTTTCGCTCAGCTTGCCTAGTCCAGAGACCGCTTCACCTCTACATACATACATACATACATACAACATATATATTGTTGTTTGGAACGGCGGCCTAAATCCGATATCTCGCTTCCTCTTTCTTCTTACCTCGCCTATCCTATGGTTTGTGGCCACGCGCGATCACGACGATTACGTAAAGATGAAAACTCGAATAATTGTCAGTTGGATGTCTAGTCAGCTGGATAATTTTACTTTGAATCATGCACATTGTTGCGATTATTTCTAAAGTATAACAACGTTGCATTGTATATTGAAATTTGAACCTAGAATTTTGAATTAATGATGAATTTTGATCATATTTTGTTATACTTAAAATATGTATTATGAATTCTGTATGACTATTATTTAATGTAAGCAATACTTTTTCAATTTTTAATTCTATGTTAAATGGATTATACATATAATTCACATAATTATAAAATCTATAGATGGAAATGTATCTATATAAAATCTTAAATACTTAAAAAATATTGCATATTTACCGTGCAAATGTTAAAAGATAGCAGATTGCAGTTTGATTTTCTATTTTTACTCTTCTAATGATAAACTTGAATATTCTTTTCTAAATACAACCGATGACCTTTATCATATAAATAATATATATAAGTAAATTTCTGAAGAAGTATTTCTAATATATGCAGCTATAAACATTTACAGTAATATTGGATATTTCTTTAAATGATAGAAGAAAACATCATTCCATCATGTGACATATACATATATAGTACTGCAATATAAGATTTGTATTTAATCATCATGGAGAATGTAAATTATGTTTCTATTTATAATATTACAATTACGAGTAATACCTAGTTAAAATGTGATGTTCATAGTTTGCGATCCTCTTACTCGCTGGAGCGTTTGCATAGGTGGGATCATAACGGATCTTTGGTCGCGACCGCACCTAGAATTCAATGAATTCAACATAACTTTGCTGTTTATCCACTTCACTTTTTATGTTTTTGCCAAATTGTGCAGTTCTCAAGATTGCAACGGCATCTGTCTTGAGAATTGTGAGCTATTCGTTATCACGTGACTACAATTGCACCGGTTTTACACTAGGATGTTACCGATCACACGTACTATTGAAGTTCGTGACAAACTGCGCAAGATTGTTATTTTCATTTTATTTTTAATAAATATTTATAAGTGAGTTATTAAATTTATGATTTTTTCATTAAAATCATTATGATTGATTATTTAAGTGATTGATAATATTTTTCGAATATTTATAAATTGCAGAATATATAGGTAAGATAAATGTAATATTTTTATATATAAAATAATATTTATTCGAATATTATAATAAATATAATAATTTATATATATATATATATATATATATATACATCATTATAATTATTATTATGCTATTAATTTGTAATTAATACAAAATAAGAAATGTGAATATAAAAGAAGGAATATAGAATTTTGAATTTATTCGAACAAGAAAGAATTCCAATGTATAACACTGAAGTTATCGTTCAGTTCGTTATTGAATAATACAAGTTTCATAATTTTTTATATTACATTTAATTTTTTTCTAAGTATTAATATGATAATAATATTTGAAATTTTAATTTTATCTTAATGTGAAATCAAAATAGCACAGATTAAATTATTGTTTAACAAAAAAATCTTAATTTTATATATATATATATATACACATAGAAAGGGCACATAATGATGCATTATTTTATAATCGTATAAAATATAATATTAAATTAAATGAAATTTAATATTTTGATTATGATCTATCTATAGAATTTAATTTTTAATTAAACCGTCAGATATATATAAATAAATATTTTGTACTATATATATTGAAATATTGTTGAAATAATATTGAAATATATAAGTGCCAACATCTTGTGCCGGCACTGGGCTAGAATTCAAACGTGTGCCGCCCCATTCTTTCGCGTGTTATATCGCAGCGTGCAAATTTCAAATGATACGTTAATTCGTGTAGTGCGTGTTCGAAATTGGTGATTGTACAAGTTAACAATTTATAGTGAACAAAAATGTTAACTAAACGCAAAAACAACAAGTATATTCATAATTACAATTTTCCACTTACAAAACTTCGAAACGTGTATTGTATACAGTGCAAACATCAATTTATTTTTCAAGGTAATTATTGAATATTCGAATCACATTTACCGGCATTTTTTTTTTTTCATCCATTAATATCTTGTATACGTTAATAATACATAATACATTTGTTTGAAACTTTTTATTATTATAATAATTGTTTTGCGAAAATTTATTTGTGTATTTTTATAAATATACGTACCAATTAGTAATATTTTAGTAATAAATATATATGCAACATTATCTTGCACGTTGCTTTTCTTTATAAATATTAATGGTATGAATATTATTTTAAAGGTTAGAATAATAAGAGATTGATATTCTTAATATATATGTAAATATCATTATAAATATTTATTTGCAAAATATAATTTAAAAAAATATTGAAAAAGCTTGTTTATTTTGTTTGTTTCAGAATTTGTTCCTTTACGTGGTGTTATTCCTTTATTATTAGATTGTGGACATACAATATGTGACAAGTGTATGAAATTATTTGTTAATAAACCTTGTCCTCTATGTAATGTAGTTTCACAATGTGAAAATGATCATATACTTTCATTATCTTTACATATATATACATTAGGATTAATGGTCATGTCGCATAATCGACCAATTATTACCGATGATTTAGATATTTCTTTTTCTAAATTATCTACTTCTAAATCAAAGCAACAGTGCATAAAAGGTGTGTATCTTATTAAAAGATGATAAATTATTTTAAATCATATTTTAAATTAAAATAAAGTATGTCTTATTTCCAGGATTGTGTTATGAATGTGGAATTCAAGCAACTATAAAATGTCTACAATGCGTTGTTCTTTTTTGCAATATTTGTTATACAAAGGTATATTATTTAGTAAATAATTATGATTTTCTTAATATATTATTATTTGCTTTTGTTGGAATATATTATTATATATTTATAAATTCAGAAGAAATGACATTATATGATATAAAATAATATACAAACTATATCTTAAATAAATATTTGGATTTATATTTTTTGTTAGATTCATGGGAAAGCATTACAAAATCATACAAAAATAATGTTAACAGAAGACAATAATGAAAATTCTTTTACTATAAGAAATACGTGTTCAGAACGGTGTAATGAACCAGTAGGATATTATTGCCAAAATTGTGATATATCGGGTTGTTCACATTGTATGCTACGATCGCACAAAACACATATTTATCAACCATTACTTAAGAAGGTTTGTATTATATAAATATGATATAATATGATTTAATTATTTATCAATACATTTTAAAGAAATAATATGTTTTTATTTTAATATTTATCAGAATGAAGAAATGCTGGAAGAATTCTATAAAATCTTTGATGACGTGTCCGAGAACTTCAAGAGAATTCAACAGGCGCAAAAGGTAAGTTTGAACTAATTTTCTGTATGTTTTAATCAAAAAGTTACTAGATATTTGAAAAAATTATTAGAAATTATGTTGCATGTGTCATAAGAAATTATCCATATTAAATGATAAATAAATAATTTTATTTTATATTTACGATATAATATTGAATATAAATATAAACTTTAAGAATTAATTTATCACAATATATAATTTTAATTATAGAAATTTTTTTCTTAAAAGGGGGGAAAATTTTTCTAAATTAATTTGTTATATATTTGTTTATCATTGAATATGTTATATTTAACAAATTAAAGAGCAATATTCTTTGAAATGCATGTTATAATTTTCTATAAAGTATATTAAATCTTGTTATAAATAACTACACTGTACAAATATGACTAGAGGGGAAAGAGAAATACTTATTGACATTATCGATTATCCGTGTTCGTTCGCATTTATAATTGTTTTAAGGGCTTGAATAATTAGATATAACATTTAAATATTTCATCGTGATAAAATAATTTGATTTCTTCATCAGTAGAGATCTTATAAAAAAATTTTTCTTATACTCTAAAAAAAAAATATATATATATATATAAAAAGAAAATCACACATAAATATATAACAAAAATATTGCACATTTTTAAGTTTCACAAAATTTCTTCACATCCGAAGATATTTAAGTGACACAACCTATAATCATTCGTTGCTATTTATAACAAATAATGGCAACAAAGATACGGTAAATGCATGCTAGATTTAAACCAGCAAAATTACAATAATTTAACAAACTAAAATAATTATAAATTAGTTGTATCAATCATTTTTTTTCTCTTGTTGCTTATCCTTGAGCTTTTCTTTTTCTTTCTCTTTCTCTTTTTCTTTCTCTTCCTGCTGCTTCTTCAACTTTTTCTCTTTCAATTTCGCTTCCATTTCCTTAAACTTGATTTCCAAATACCGATCTACCTCTGGACCGGTGAAATCCTCCGGAAATTTTGGCATTATCGGCAGTATATACTTGTAAAGTCGTTCATTTAACACGTACAATTGAGTCGTAGTTTCGCATTTAACATTGAACCACCAGTCACACGTCAACGCCACTTGACTGAATATCGTACCATTCGGGCATAAAAACGATGATTTACCACCGTTAAGATCACAATAATGCCATACCTGAAAGAACAACATTATCATTATTACACGAGTTTTCGGAATAGGTTTAAAAGTTTTTGTTTCGATTTATATTTATATATTTTTACATTAGGAATAGTTCTATGTTTACCATGTTTAATCAGAAAAAGAGAGAGAGAGAGAGAGAAGGGAAAAAAAAAAAAAAGAAAATACAGCGTTCCCCGAATTGGTAATCCTCTTACCTATCTCCTCATCTATAAACATTCTATTTAAAAGAATGATTGATAAGTTTCTTTACTTGGAATCGTTGTTACCTTCTCCTTTTCCGAGATATCTTCGCATCAACAAATCGGGAAACACTGAAACATTACCTGGCATCCGGTCTCTGGATCGCCAAAGAATCCTTTATACCGTTGTTCCTTGCAACTAAAATTCGTACGCGGTATACTGGAATAAGCTGGATAATCCACATTAGCCTTTCCTCGTGTAGCCCCATACTTCAATCTTGTCTGTGGAACAGTTTGCTTCGAGGTCGAAACCTTGTCGGGCTCCGTGTGATAAGTGTAAAGCGTCGGGCTCTCCGTGGTAAGATACGGCAAGGGAAATTGTTCTTTCTGCAATATATCCTCCCTTACGTCTTCCGTGATCGCGTAAGAATGATCGATAGGAGGCTCATCAGGCTGCGGTCTGATCGTAGGTAGGAATGTCTCTTTGTATCTGGTCGGTATCTCTTGCACCACGGGGATATAATATTCGATCACGTTCTTCGTCAAACTGTTCGCGTTGTAACCCGGTCGAGGCGATCCTTTCGGTCTCCCTTCTTCCTCGTACGAGGTTGCCTTGTATCGTTCAGGGTCGTCGGTCAGGTATATCGGATTGGGCGTAGCCTGAAATCTCGACTCCGTTATCACTTTCGGCCTCGTATGCGGCCGTACTTTGGCCGCTGGCTTCTGCGGCACCCTTGCCGCTACTACCTGCGTTAGAGGAGGCGCCTGTATCTGGGGGAATTCTTCTTTCTTCGTGTTGTGCAGAATATTCAGTATCTCGACCAACGTCCTCAAGCTATTATCTATATTGTCGTTGTTCAACGATTCTGGCAAACGTTCGCTCAATTGGAAGCTCTCCATTATCTGCTCGAGATTCACGTTAGGATTTCGTGGCAATTGAGGGAGCAACGACGGTTGCTTCAATCCAGGTATCAGTTCCAACGTGTTTGGGTAGACAGGAACTTGGCGATGATCTTGGAAATCCTTGATTGGATAATTAATAGGGGCGTTGCTACCCGTTGCTCTCACGTTGTTATAATCCAGAACGTAGTCATCCCGAAGATCACCACCGTGGACAGGTTTGCTCGGTTGCTTCCTGGTCGGGTGTTCCCTGCCGTTGGAGGTGTAAGGTCGCAACGGTCTCGCGTTTCCATAGTATCTGTTCTCCTTCCGGGAGTTCTGAGCGTTGGTTACCGTCGGTATTTCAGGATACGCTATTTTTTGATCCTGATACGGCGTCGACTCGTATTCGTAATTGATCTTCTCCGAGTTGTATCTGACGGGCGTGAAGTAATCGTTGTCGACCCCCACGTTTCTCGGGTCGTATTGAACCGATGGGACGAACTTCTCTTGATTCCGCGCGCTCGCGCGATAATTATTCTCCCTTCGTGGCCCCGTGTACGCCCTGGCGAATTGCGGATTCGCCTGTTGATTTTTTCTCACCAGGGGGATAACTTGTTGCGCGTCATTCGCGGATGCTCCTTGTGAGATCGGTGGTTGACGGTCGTTTACGAAGTTGTGGGCCACGTAGAATGTCATGTAGGGTATCAGTCTTCTGTACCTTTCTTTGAACTCCTCCTTGAACTCTTCCAGCGTGATATTCGACGACGATTCGTCATCTTCCTCGTCTGTTACGATCCTCGTCGAGTTTGAATCGGAAGGTGCCGCGTTCCTCGCTGTGGATAACACTGAAACAAGTAAATCGTAAATTGGCTTCTTTCTCTTAAAATTAGCTGCAAAATCTAGCGTATTTTCATCTTCTCGCGATTCAAAAGAAAAAAAAAACATTCAAATTAACATCTAAGTCACGTCTGAATTAATTCAATAATTTAAAAATTCGAGAAGAATTACAAGACTACGCGAAACAAGTTATCTCTCGATCGTTATGCTCTAATTACTACCTTCTGACGAAAAATAAGAAAGGAGCATCTAAAGAGGAAAGACAAGGCAAATAAAAGAAGGTATCGTGATGATACCTTTCATATACTCGATCTTTTAAAAAGTCACCAACGTTATGTATCGCTTACTTCTTTCCTTTCCTCTCAATCTCAATCTCGTCCCCTCCCCTCCCTCGTGGCTACGTGCGAAGTAATGCCGCGTGTGCCGCACTTCGCCACTGGTTGAAATTAAATTAGGAGGAAAATATTCGGAGAGCCGGCGCTTTTGCACCGGGATAGCAAGAATATAAAGGCTATCCCCGCGTGTATGCACACTCACACGCGTTCAAAATCACGAGCGAATTCACTGGTCTATCTATTTCAGCATACGCTTGTGTATGTATGCACTCGCGGAGGATATATTCGCTCTGGCACGTTCGAGCGGTGCAACCACTAAAAACGTACCAATCCTCGGCCAACTGAGCTCAACCCTCGACCCTACGCGTGTACAACTACGGTTAACTCCCTCCCCGTCTTGCTCGATCGTACAGGACGGCTCGATCTTTCGGGTGTTGCGATAGACGTGGTTTCATCGGATTTCGGGAAATGAACTTTGCTCGATCGATTTTCCCCAATTTTATACCGTGTTTAGCAACCAATTATGCTTCTCCTTTTATTTTTTCATTCGTGATTCGTTTTTTTTTCTATTATTAACTATATTTTTATTAAATATATTTTCTATATATATTAAATATATATTCTATTATTAACTATATTTTTATTAAATATATTTTCTATTATTAACTATATGGATAGAGAGGGTAGAAAATGTTGCCGTTGATTTTATGATAAGATTTTAAGATTTTGATCGATTTGTCAATTAACTTTTCGACAAGTGTTGGACATATTATTCTAATTTAAGATTTTCCTCCTTCATCGAATGATACGTATATAATTGCGAATTGAAATTATCTGAAACAAAATTTCCTTTAGTTTAATTAAAATAAAATTTGTAACGTTTCCATTGGATCAAATCTATTCGGGGTTTGTCGCGTTTTCGAATTTTTCAACGCGCTTATTAACGCGCGTAATAGAGATTTCTCCCCCGTGGGGAGAAGATTTTTATAAACCGATTATTCGGTTGGCGATGTAACGAAGTAACGAGAGACGAGATGCTATCGTTTTATCGCGGCCAGGAGATAGAGACAAAGGGAGAGAGCGAGAGGTCGTGGCGCACATCAAAGGGACGCGACCGTGTCTCTCTGTTACGGGCGGATACACACTCGACCTGGAAATCCAATTCGATTCTGCATGAAATGAGTCTGGAAACTCTCTCTCTCTCTCTCTCGTTCTCGCTTTATTAATTCTGTCAGTACGGAAACGTGATTGAAAAATCCGCAAAGCGCGTGTTGCCACGAGGCCAACAACACGCCCATCCAGTTTCTCTCTAAAGAGGTGCTCGTCCCGAAAATTTACAAAGCGCCCGTGTCCATCTGCATAAAGATGCGCGCGATCCTTCGGGCTAAGTGGACACTCCACGCTCTCTCGCGGTTTCAACCTTTTCTCGCGAGAATTCGATTCTGGACAGCTTGTTTAAGGCGGTGTTTACACTCGCGTTTCCACCCACTCGAGAGGAAATCTCGTTTTTTCCCTTGTTTTCTCGAGAAATGTTTAGAATACATCTCGGTTTCGGATTGTTTCGAGGTTGTTTTTCCCTCCCGTGTTTTGGTGGACGGATGGCTGTTCTCTTTTTCTTTTCTTCTTTTTTCTAGATTTGATCAGATCGTTTGGGATCTAGATTTAGGAAGATTTATCCTCGATGGAACATATTTCTTTTTTATGATAAATTTGAAAGAACGTGAAATTTCACGTTAGTTAAAAGTTAGAGAGAGAGAGAGAGGAAAAGTTTGATGGTATTTTAGAAACCACGTGGATGAGAAGATACTTAGGTGGAATTATTTGTCAAATTAATATAAATATATTCCATATATTCGAACTTTTTAAAAATTTACATTCAAGTGTTAATCATATAACTGGTTATGATAAACCCGTTTCCCACAGCTGTTCAATTTTTTATCATTACCTTATTCTCGCAATTTCCCTCTCTATTTCTCCCTCTCTCTCTCTTCGACCTCGTTTTTTTCTCCACCGTTTCATTCAAACAGTGGCAAATATTAATTTACTCGATCCACGGGAATCACGCTCGCGTAATATTTCCAGCGGGAAAGGCAAGTACAGTAGACCCTCGAAATTCAAACACAATCCGTTCCAGGAGACCGGTTGTTCAATCTTCGAGTTGTTCGAATTTCGAATTAAATTCTTCCATTTGAAACGATATAAATTTCAAACAGTGGAAATTTACTCGATACAAGACATTTTAAACGGCTATTTCGATCCAATATTTTTATCTATAAAATATTACATGCTTATAAAAATATTCTATAATATCAATTAATCGATAATTTTCCTTCAATCTGTTATTTTTTATCGTTAACTTTATCTATTTTTTTTTTTTTTAATATTTTTCAATCAAATCATTCCATCGTTAAATTATTTAACATATTTACGTAAAATGATTTTTTTATTTTTTTCTCTTCAAATCTCCAATCTTTCTCAAAAAAAAAAAAGGGAATTTTTTAGTTCTCGAGTTTGCAAGCAAAATTTACAAACAAGATTAATTTTTCCACTTAAAGAATTTTCGTTTTCCACGAAATGAGATACGAGGATTTATCTCGTTCGGTATCGGTTTATGACACGGCCCTTCGTCTTCTGCCGCTGACAATAAATAAAACTACGGTCGCAGTAATTTTGGCCGGGCGGCGAAATTGAGAATATACGTTATCCTGTTTTCCATAGGCGATATCAATTGTTCGTACCAGTTGTTCCCTATTCTGCTCGCGCGTCTCTGAATTACGATTGTAACGATTGCCTTGTATTACCTCCGGCCTGGCTATCGATGAATTTTTGTTTATTTCATATCCTCGAACCGCGAACAAGACAGAATGGACAAGCGACGCGACGATTGTCGAATGAAATTTTTGCTTTTCTCTCTCTTTTTTTTTTTATTATTTTCAATTGTAGCTTCTATATAATAAATCGCGAAATACATTTCATCGGTGGATCTCGATTCTTCGCTTCTCTCTGTCGTTCGTTTGAAAACTTGGTGACGCGTTTTGTGCCGTTATTTATTTACTTTTATAGGGGCAGAATTAAGTGCTGTTGTTGAAATTTTCCAAGAATTGAAGGAGCTTTTGGGAAATTTTCTCTTAATTTAATTAAAACGAAGAATTAAAAATTAATTGTAAATAAGTAAGGGGAATAGAATTATCGTTTAAAATTTCCAAAAATACCTCGTAGAAAGATCGAAGGAAATATTTTCAATAAAAGAAGATTTTATATTTTTAATATCGATATCAATCAAACTTGTATCACACATTCTCTCTTCAATCCCTTTCTAACTCTCATCGAAATTCATATCCCAGAAAAATCCCTGCCTCCGGACAAAACGTTCGAACGAGGTTGCAAAATTTTGAACGCGACATGCCAACCAATCCCTCCTCCTCTCCTCCGCAATTGAAAGTAACAAATTATCGATTTCGATCGGGTTCTCCACGGATTGATTAGCCGCCTGTGTCTCTCTTTTCGTTGCACAAACGACTCCCCATTCGATCGGGGCTGGATTTCTACGTTTGCGCAACATATTGTTTGCGGAGGGCCGTCGACACGGGAAACCGACGTGTCTGGCAATGTCGGTCCCCGATTCATCGATATCTCGATACGGAATATTAATTGGCGGCTATTGGTCTCCCGGATTACGTTATTTCGAACGCACGTGACCCGGAATCGTGACGAATTCGGGTTTCATTGCGTGACAACTGCGAAGTGGATGCAAACGGAATTTGAACTCACACGTATACTCTCTGTGTATCCATCTTTCGAATCGTTTCCCTTTTTCCCATCGCGGATCTTGAACGATTAGGAAAAATAATTAAAGCTAACGTCTTCTCCTGGAGGACTCTAATAAATAAATAAATCTTCGTTCATAACTTTGTTATCTCTTACCTCTTATCTCTTTAATTCGAGTTACTTTTTTTCTTTTTCTTATTTTGGCAAGCGTTTTAATAATCGTTAGATAGATGTCGTAAATCTCAAAAGTGATTGTAAACTGTTACTCATATTTTAATTTTCTCGATGAGGATCAACAATTTCTCGTACGTGATTTCGAAACGAAATTCCCTTTCTTCCTCTCCCTTCCCTTCCAACTTCATCAAATTACAAACAACCCCCGAAACGGCGAAAACAATTCTCTCGAAAATTCAGCGAATCCGTCCCTGGCGTATCCTCTGATAAATAAAAGTTCTCTCTGAAAGGAAAAAAGAAAAAGAGGGGAGAGGAGGGAGAGAGAGGAAGGGTCGGATTGTAAACCGTATTTTGCCTCGTCGAGTGGGCGTGTAATGACCCTTTCGCTTTCGCATCGCGTGCATGTAATTACCTTCGTTACGGTTGCACACGGCCTAGGTATTTTCGTTTTTCCTTTCCGGTGTACATATATATGCGCGCGAATCGTATCGTGCCAAGATACGAGAGGAATAACGCTTTATAATTGCGCGTTATTAAAAGCCCTCCATTTAAAATTTCGTGAATTGGGCGTATCGAAAAAAAGGCGGGCATCGAGTAAAGCGATTAACCCCGGATAAATGAGGTTTTTAACGATGATGATCGTTCCTGTAATCCAGAGTATCGATAATTGTTGATGATTGTTGTCCTCCCCTCTTCCTCCCTCTTTTGTGGATTCACCACTCGTCTTTTCA